TTCCAGGCTGATAGGGTCTAAAATTGTCTCCCTTTTGTCCTTCCTGGTAGAGAGAGTTGGAAGAACACCTTTAAAAATTTATGTCCTGCTTTTAGACACATGGAAGGCAAGAAGCTTTTCTTTTAATTTTTAACTGTCTTTTTTTTAAATTAAAAAATATTTTTTAATGTTTATTTTTGAGAGAGACACAGCGTGAGCAGGGGAGGGGCAGAGAGAGAGGAAGACACAGAATCCGAAGCAGGCTCCAGGCTCTGAGCTGTCAGCGTAGAGCCTAATGCAGGGCTCGAACTAATGAGCCGTGAGATCATGACCTGAGCTGAAGTTGGACACTTACTTTTAATTATTTACTTATTTTTGAGAGAGAGGGAGGAGTAAAGAAAGGGAGACGAGAATCCCAAGCAGGCTCTGAGTTATCAGCACAGAGCCCAGCGCAGGGGTAAAACTACGAATGGTGAGATCATGACCTGAGCCAAAGTTGGACACCTAACCGACTGAGCCACCCAAGCGCCCCTGTCGTATAGTTTATATGGTACCAGGCTTCATGCAACTCTTTCATACCCATGATCTCATTGCATCCTCACAGTAACAGATATTACTAGATACTGGAACAAATATTGTTCCATCGAGGAAACCAAAGTGCAGAGGTTAAGTCATCTGCTGAAAGACACCAGCCAGTTTGTGCAGGTGTAGACCCTGACTGGTGTTTTTCCCACTACATCTTAGTTGACTGCCGTTACATCCTTTTTTTTTTTTTTTTTTTTAATGTTTATTTATTTATTTTGGGTGGAGAAGGAGAGGAAGAGAGAGAGAATCCAAGCAGGACCCGCTGCTTGGAGCAGAGAGGCCTGAGGTGGGGCTCAAACCCACGAACTGTGAAGTTATGACCGGAGCTGAAATCAAGAATCTCAACCGACTGACACTCAACCAACTGAGCCCCCCAGGCGCCCTTGCAGTTCTTTTCTTTCTTCGCTGTCCCCATTCCCAGAGTGGAGCTCTGATGGTTTTTATTCCCTATTTGGCTCCCTTCCCCACCCACAGCATCTATGTTTATGGCATTTCCTGTTACTTGGTTTTGTTCCAGAGAGAAGTAGAGATCCTGATGTTCCTCAGTGCCATTGTGATGATGAAGAACCGCAGATCGAGTAAGTTTAGCCTGTGCCTCAGTTTCTCCAGGTTAGACCTGATGCCCTACAGAGGTGCTTTCATTCTTGTTAGGGGAGGGGCGCTATTTGATGTGCGAGTCCCACATCCCATGCCAAGACTGAATTTGATCTTGGATTTTTATCCTCTTCCCCTTTCCCAACCCAAAGTACCACAGGAAGAGTGACAGACGGGATATAGGAGTTTGCAGCCCAGCCTGACCTGTGACATCTTTGTGTTTCAGTCACCGTGGAGCAGCATATAGGCAACATCTTCATGTTTAGTAAAGTGGCCAATGCAATCCTTTTCTTCCGTCTGGATATTCGCATGGGCCTGCTTTACATCACCCTTTGCATCGGTAAGGAGATCGGGTGTGGGAACCAAGTTCCAACCCCAAACAAGTTTCTCCAGAGCCTTCTTCTTTTCTTTTTTTTTCTTTTCTTTTTTATGTCTTTATTTTATTTTGAGAGACAGAGACAGAGAGCAAGTGGGGAAGGGGCAGAGAGAGAGAGGGAGACACAGAATCCGAAGCAGGCTCCAGGCTCTGAGCTGGCTGTCAGCACAGAGCCCGATACAGGGCTTGAACCCACGGACTGTGAGATCATGACCTGAGCCAAAGTCGGACACTTAACCGAATGAGACCCCCAGGCGCCCCACCTTCTTCTGTATCTTGTACCTAATTATGTGTGTGGCTCAGGTGATGAGATGAGTCTACGGAAACTTGAAGAAGAGAGGAATTTGTCAGTGGTCTGTGTACGTCCACAAAGTGTATTCTTTGGTACCTGAAGTCTTTGAATCGCTTTGCAAGCAAACCCTCCATTGGAGGCCTTACACGTTTCCTCTGACATCTTTTTTCCGTGTTCAGTGTTCCTGATGACGTGCAAGCCCCCCCTGTACATGGGCCCTGAGTATATCAAGTACTTCAATGACAAAACCATCGATGTGAGTGCTCTGCCTTGTTCCTGTTTCTTGGGTCCCACGTGGGTGATTGCGTAGCTGTGCTCTTTCCTCTCTAGGAAGAGTAACAGTGCTTCAGAATGGAAGTCTAGGGCACTGCGGTTTATTACCGGAGCTAGGGAGGGGGGAGGAGGGAAAACCAGGGTGAGGAATCATACCCGGGGGCCCTTGCGATCCAGCTCACTGTTTCTTCCCTGTGTGTGGCAGGAGGAGCTAGAGCGGGACAGGAGGGTCACCTGGATTGTGGAGTTCTTTGCCAATTGGTCTAATGACTGCCAGTCGTTTGCTCCTATCTATGCTGACCTGTCCCTCAAGTGAGTCCCGTGGAGGGCAGGGGAGGATGGGAATGGAGGCGCTGCACTCTCCCTCTCATTGTTTCTGGCCTTGATTTTGGCACGTTGCAACCAAAGCTTTTTTCTTTTTTTAAGTTTGTTTATTTATTTTGAGAGAGAAAGCACACGCAAGTAGGGGAGGAGCAAGAGAGAGGGAGAGAGAGAGGGAATTCCTTGCAGCCTCCGCACTGCAGCACAAAGCCTGATGTGGGGCTTGAACTCACGAACTGAGAGATCATGACGTGAGCCGAGACCGAGAGTCAGTCACTCGACCCACTGAGTCACCCAGGTGCCCCAACTATAGGCCTTTCTCCCCTCTCCTCAAATATTTGAATTTCTTCCCTTGATCCAATCCCTTCTTTCACTATGTTAAATAATATATTTTTCTCAGGTACAACTGTACAGGGCTAAATTTCGGGAAGGTGGACGTTGGACGCTACACTGATGTTAGTACACGGTATGTAAAGGCCCAGACAGAGGGTCTGAGCAATAAATCACTTTAAGTGATGTAGACAGATGCATTTACGGAGTACTTTCTGGGCCCTGTAGGTACAAAGTGAGCACATCGCCACTCACCAAGCAACTCCCTACCCTGATCCTGTTCCAAGGTGGCAAGGAGGTCATGCGGCGGCCACAGATTGACAAAAAAGGACGAGCTGTCTCTTGGACCTTCTCTGAGGTATCTGAAAGAGTGAGCAAATGGTTTGGAGAAGGGTGTGGAATGGTGGTTGGCTTTGGAGTTCACCTTGGGTTTGGTTCCTGGCTCTGCCACATGGCCACTGGTTTTGAGAGAGTGGACTAGTTACCAGATTTGATTCATGAATTCACTCAGCAAATTCGTTGTGCTTCCACTGTGTGCCAGAACCGCTAGTACCGGGGGACAGTTACTAGTTAAGATTCAGTCTCAGAGGCCCTCGTTCCCAGTCTGTGGGCCCATGGACCACAGGCTGGTTTTGTAGAGTTATGTTAAAAATGTAGCTGTAATTCTTGATACAGTGATGGTCACTAACAGGTACGTACTGTACAGGGTTGACTTTTCCAGGTAGCCAGAAAGGGAGAGTTAGGTTAGAGGAGGTTCGGTCCTCTCCTTCCTTCTCCTTCTCTCTTAGGCTGTGTTTAAATACTTCTGATTTCCCGGTAAGAACTCTCCTTTCCAACTGGAACCCTGATGTGAGCACCTCTTTTGCACAGGAGAATGTGATCCGAGAATTCAACTTGAACGAGCTGTATCAAAGGGCCAAGAAGCTATCAAAGACTGGAGATCACATCCCTGAGGAGCAGCCTGTGGCCCCCGCCGCCACGGAGGTGCCGGATGGGGAGAGCAAGAAGGACAAATAGAATCCCTGCCTTGTCAGTGCTTCCTCACCTTTGAGGCCCTGCCCCTTCCGTAACCACAGGCCCTGCTTGAGGCCTGGGCCTTTTATTTATGTTTTCCCTTTGGCTCTGCCTCAGTCAGGCAGGGTGATGCTTCTGGTTTTCAAGAGGCTTTCAGGGAATTGACAGGCCCCCTCCAGGAAGGCCTCCAGTGCTGTGGCCAACTTTCACTGGAAGAAGGGAGAGATCTCCAATGATGAAGGAGGAAATACTTGCCTTCCAGGCTTGGGTCCAAGTACCAGCTGCTGTCCACCAGTCACTCATGTCTCCACCATGTGGTGTTTTCACACCCTTCCTCTTAGTGGACCTGCACAGTCTGCCTAGATTATATTAAACCTAACAGAAAATGCCTAGGTCTGGAGTCTGCACTAGGATTTTTCCCTCCAGGACCCTTGCTTCTGTAGGCATTTTGGCTTGGTCTGTGGCCTCCATTAATAAGTATAAGGCTAACGTTGTCAACTGGTCCTCAGGAGAAACCTTTAACCACTGAGTTTACTCATTGGAGATAGTTTTAACAATCCCCCTAATTTTTGGAGTTTGGGAGGAAAGGGAATAGGTTTGAGATGTTCTTTTGTCTGGTGGGGCTCAGAGGAGAAAGCCCTTGGCAGGCGTAAGGTTTCCTGTAGTCTCCTACCTACTCCCAATACCCAGTTGATAGTTTTCCATAATAAAGAGACTGGGATTTCCTTTTGATTGCGCCTCTGTGTGTTCCAGCCTATTAAGGAAGGCCCTGCACCTGCAGAGGAAATGGTATCTCACCTGCCAGGCTTTGGTTCCCAGGGTCGGGGAGAGGTGGGGAAGACTAGTTTCCGATCCTAGATTAGTTTGTGGGTTTGATTTGGGATTGGTGCGCGGGTTCCCAAGGAGGAGGTGGGGCGGGGGCTTTGTATGTCTTGGGGCACGCGCTTTAGCCCGGACGGACGCTTACAGAAAGGCCTGTGTGAAGCCTGACCTGTTTCCAGAGCTGCCTAGTCGGCGCCCCTCCCGAAGGGCGGGTGGTTCGGTCTGGGGCTCCCTGCACCTTACCCTCAGCCGCGAGCAGAGTGGTTGTGCCCGGGAAACTTTTCCCCCTCCCCACCCCCCGGCCGTGAGCTGAATGGTTGTGCCCGGAGACCCCCCTGGCCGCGGGCTGAGTGGTTGTGCCCAGGGACGCATCCCCGCCCCCCCCAGGCCGCGGGCTGAGTGGTCGTGCCCACGGCGCCCGCCTCCAGGCCACGTGGGCGCCGCGGCCACGCTTTCCGCAGTGAGGGAGGGGCTTGGGCCTGGCGGCGGGTTTCCGGACTGCGGTTTGGGGCTGCAGCGGCGCCGGCCCGGGTCCTCGTCCGCTCGGTGGCTGCGTCTGCCCCCTACTGCCGCCCAGGTCGGCTCGGCTCCCGGCTCCATGGCTTCCCGCGGGAGGAAGCGGAAGGCCGAGGCGGAGGTGGTTGCGGCGGCGGGGAAGCGGGAGAAGCCGGCGGGCGACCGGAAGAGCGTGGAGGAGGCGACCGTCGTGATCGAGCATTGGTGAGGGGCCTGGAGAGGCGCGGGGAAGCGGGCCGGGGCCGACCGAGGCCCGGCTTCTGAGCTTCCGCGTCTCTCCTAGCACGAGCTGACGCGTCTACGGGCGCAACGCCGCGGCCCTGAGCCAGGCGCTGCGCCTGGACACCCCGGAGCTTCCGGTGGAGGTGAATCCTGCCAAGCCCCGGAGGGGCAGCTTCGAGGTGACGCTGCTTCGCCCGGATGGCAGCAGTGAGTGGGGGCCCGAGGGCGGGCGGGGAGCGCTGGTCTCAGACCGTGGGCACCGGGATTTGGGGGGAGAAGCTGGTGCATGGCGAGGTGACTTCGCTCCCCTCGCTCTTTTCCCAGGTGTGGAGCTCTGGACTGGGATTAAGAAGGGGCCCCCACGCAAACTCAAGTTCCCTGAGCCTCAAGAGGTGGTGAAGGAGCTGAAGAAGTACCTCTCGTAGGGTGTTTTGAGTAGAAGTGCCCACACTGAGGTTTGAAGGGGGCAGGAGGGGTGGATTGCGGCTATTTGCAAGCAGCCCTCCCTTACCCCGTATCACACAGGGCCTACCACTCGTAACTCCCTTCTTGCTCTCAGGGTGTCCCCGTATTGTTGGTAGGAAAGCTAGAAATCGGCAATAAATTGTTTCCTGTCGGCGTGAAACATTTTGGCTAGCTGCATGTTTCACTGTCCTTGAGCTAAGTCGTAGGATGCTGATGGTAATGTAAATGACCCTATAGACGTGCAATTTGAAGATAGGTCTATTGATCCCACGTGAGAACCAGTACCGTCACTCCTGGCCCCAAGGACTTGACTGGTTTTTTATTCTTAACGCTCCGGCATGTTGTCAGGCACTCGATGAGCTGAGTGAAGCAGGATGCTATCCTTGAACTCTCCTGGGTTTGTGGGCTCCAGGGTGGGGGGCACAGCTGTCTTGGTCTTTAGGATTGCCTGGGCCCCTTCTCTAACCTCTTTTCCCTCCCTCCTGTTCACAGCTTTCTGTCCCTGGCGATGTTTGGAACATTTATGACGGGACATGGCCAAACTTCAGTCATGTGCCTGAAGCCATGGTTTCTCCTCCTCCAGAAGTGATGGGTCAGTTGTGAGGCAACCCTCTCGTAAGGTGTTGAAAAGTTCTTGGATTTGCTTTGTTTAATAAAAGTTGAAATAAAGTATTTGAGTAATAGTTTAATGTTATGGTATTAGGTGAACAAAGCTCAGCCTTGTCCTTTTGTGGGATTGGCTCCCCTTGCATTTTTCATATTCCTAAGGTCACCAGTTAACCTGGAGCTCCTAGGGTCTCTGGTAGATCACGTGAAATACCTGTAAATACTAATGCACGTATGTCTCTCTCAACTCACGGAACACTTCTTGGAAGTGATGATGGGAGTTCTTTTTTAGCCCCTGCAGAGGTTTGACTGGCCTTCCCACAATGGAGTGCGTAAGGCCCACTATAAGTAGGTACTGGCAAATGTCCTGTCGCCTTTACCCAGTTCCACCCCAGCACTGTTTCATCCCTTCTGAAACACTTGGTTTCACAGAAGGTGTTTTTTCTCGTTTATTATTAAATGAGCAGTGACTAGATATAACTTAGGATCCCTGGCGTTGGTTGTTATTTATGACCTCATAGATTTGGGGACCACACAGTTTATAGTTTCACTTGTTTATCACTAACTGGAAAATAGATTACAAAGAAATAAGATAGTTCAAGTTCATAATTTTGTACCCACGGTACTACTGCTTGGCTCCCAAAGTGCGGGGAGGTGAGGAAGGGACCCGTAGAGACCTAGGAGTACCCCTGCCTCTCGTGCTGAGGGGACGGGGAATGCGCTAGCCTCTACCCATACACCTTTTGCCAGTCAGCATTTCCCACCCTCCCAGTGTCCCTAACCTGCGCTACCTGTTCTACGTTAGTATGTCCACCTCTGTGTCTGACTCTGAGGAAGGGTCGGGCCACACAGAGGGAATACCCATGGGCACCAGCCTCCCCTCTGATGTCCAGTCCACAACATCAATCTCGTCTTCTTCGGAGCTGGCAGGAAGTGGGTCCAACAATTCGGAGTTGCCAAGTTCCTCCTTGCCTGCCTCTGGAGCAGGGCATAATACCTCATCCATACTTAGGGACACTTCCGGCCTAGTGTCCATCCAGTTTGAACAGGGGGGTGAGAGATCCTCATAGGACCTTTGGGGAAGGTTGAGAGAGTCAATGTGCAGAAGCTTCTCTCTCTGATCATCCACTGGCTGGGAACTGGTAATTTCCAGATCTGGAGTCCAAGGGCCTCCTACTGAAAGTACCTCCCCTTCACTCACCTCAGAGGGCATGACAAGGGGGCTGAGGGACTCATCTGGCTCTTTGTTCTCAGAGGACCTGACAAGGGGGCTAAAGGGCTCAATTGGCTCTTTGTTCTCGCCAGTAGGTTCCTTTTCAAATCCCGTGAGCTCCCTGGGCCAGAGTTCCATGTCTGGCAGACACCATTCCTCCCCTTCAATCCAGGTCTTTCCTGTTTCTGTCAGGTGGTAACTAGGGGTCCTGAAGCCCTCGGCTCCAGGACTCTCCAGAGACCCTATGGGTGGCTCAATGTCGGAGCCACAGAGCATGAAGTCCAAGATCTCCTCCAGCTCACTGGTGGCAGCAGCACTTGTGATGCGGTACTCCTCAGCCTCGCACGGCTGTCCCAGCAGAGCTGTGTCAAACGCGTAGTGCTCCCTGCAGTCGGTACCCAACCCGGGCTCCTTCACTACCAGCTCTGGACTGGACCCAAACTCAGACTTCACCACTGGGTGGTCCGGCGAGCGGCCAGCAGAGAGCAGGATGTCTTGTAGCCTGGAGCACACAGGGGAGTCCTGACACGGATCTACTCTGGCAGATAACGTTTCCTGCTCCTTAACTGAGGATGGCTGCGTCCCTACAGGCTCTTCTGAGCCAGGTTCCAGGATCTGAGGGCTCTCTTGAGAGTGTTTGAGGGGAGGCTCTTGTACCACCTCCCAGCACGTCCCATTGACAATCTTCCGAAGTTTCACCCTTCCGACCTGCCCCTCCTCTGTAGAGTCCGAGTTCGGAGTCCTGACGTCAGGGCTCCGCTTCTTGCTCCCACCTGTATCTTCAAGACCAGATGGGCTTGGGGTGCTTTGTAGAGGACTAGCTCTCCCTGGTTTCTCCTTGTCCTCTGGTACTTTATTTATACTCTTCTGCCGCCAAAGGCGCCGGCCAGGGGCTGTGGGTACGGAACTGGGTCCACTTACAATGCCGGAAGGCTTGGATGTACAGACATCAGGAGATGGCTTAGAGCGACTCAGTCTGATCTTTCTGGGCAACAGTCGCTCGTCCACAGAGGGGTACATACCAGGTGGGAAAACTGCTGTAGGAGCAAGGGCAGAGTCGCTTTTTCTCTCTTTAGGTTCCTGACTGTGGCTTGATGGTGAAGAGCTTTTTTCTTGTGGAGTTGGGCAAGCTCTGGCCTTCCTCTTGAGCGTAAGATTGCCGGACAAGTTCTCTGCATTCTGTTGGTTGCTTTTCTCCAGGGGGCCCTCCTCCTTTCCCAAGGACTTCAATCTCACTAGCCCAAGAGGACAAGTTGTCTGGGTCACAGGCAGTGGAGTCCGAGGACGACGGATGGATGCCACCACTCTGGCAGAGATTGGTGCAGGACTTGGAGGTTGTAAGCACTCCCGGTTCAGTCTTCGGCCCTGGGGGGCCTTCACCAACTTCCCACCCTCTAGCTGGAGGGATTCTAGCTCAGATACACGGAGCTGACGAGCAGCAGAAAGCACATCCTGGGCTTCTTCTCGAGATACTTCCATCTCTGAGGTATACAAGAAGTCCACCAGCTTCCTGAGTGTCCTGATCTTTAAGCCCCCCAGCTCCAGCACCACCTTCCGACCCTGAGCTGGCCTCTCCCGCTCTAGGCGCTCTGTGAAGAAGGGGCTGCAGGCTGACAGGATGCAGCAATGGGCTGGAACTGCCTCGCCTGGAAGGAAATCCAAACACTTGTTATCTCATGTTCACAGGCTAAATAAAGTCTTTACTGCCCAAATGTGCTGCTCCTCTCAATTTCTTTCCATGGAAGTGCAAAGAAAAGTCTTTTCCTTCTGTTTGTCTGGAACCTTCTGGACATTACCTAGCTAACAAACTTTTTATCCTTCAAAATCTAGTTTAGACATCACTTCTTTCAGAAAGCCTCTCCCCACCCCACGTTCAGTCTAGGTTAGCTGCTCCTGGGCACAGAGAGATACTCTAGCTATCAGAGCACTTAGCTACCGCTGTTATAACTGTCCATCTCCTTCACTAAAGTGAAACTATGAGGACGGAGGCCATATCTATCTTGTTCACTAAGATACACCCTCTGCTTGACACAAAGGAGAGGATCAAATTTTTGACTCATGAGAATTTAAAATTTTTTATAGAAGCTGCTTGTGGTCTAACAGAAAGAATATGAGCTTTGGATGCATATAATCAGGGTTCATTTCCCACCTAACCTCTTAGGCATTGCCTACCAGGCAGCTGGCTTGAGCCACCTTTACAGGCACGTCCCTGGCCATCTCAGTGAGTCTCTCTCATGGCTTCAGTTTCCAGAGGCTTGCTGCTGACTCCCAGGTCCTACCTCTGCCTAGATCCCTTTTCCCAAGACAGTGAACATGCCACAGCCTGCATCAACCTTTCTTGAAAGTGAACTCTATCCCCCGACCCCAAAACCTCCCGTTTCCTACTTCAAAATACATATGTACTTAACTCCCAAGCCTGAAAACTAGAAGTCCTCTTTGTTCTCCTTTACCCATTGTATCTAATCAAATATTAACTTCATTTTTATTTACTTTAAACATCTCTATCTATAGATACATAGATACATGGTAGTAGCAATCTCCACTCCCAACATGGGGCTTGAGCTTCAAAGCCTGGGATCAAGAGTCACATGCCCTACTGCCTAAGCCACCCAGGCACCCCTCAAACATTAATTTTTTTTTTTTTAAAAAAAGCAACTACTTTTTGAGTCCTTATTGCATGCCATATAATATACTAAGTAAGGGTTTTACCAGTATTCATTCATTTGATCTTCACTGCAGTCCTGTGAAGTAGCTGCTTTTATGGATGAGTAAACAGTGGCATAGCTAAGTAATATGCTCAACACAATTACACAGTTATAGCAAGTCACAGGGAGAGGATTTGAACCCAGGGAATTTGGCTACAGAGCCTATGCCCTTAACTGCAGCAAGTTTTGTAAATTCTTTCTGATTATAAACCAGACATTTCTATACTCAATACCTCAGTTTAGGCCACCATTCCTTCTCTTGGATTCTAAAATAGCTCCCTATCTGAGCTCAACAACAATCCAATAATTCTTCTCATGCAGGCCAAGTGTTATTTCTAAAGCAGGTATCTGATCATGACCTTCTTCTTAAAACCATTCCTTGGACGGGGCGCCTGGGTGGCTCAGTCGGTTAAGCATCCAACTTCAGCTCAGGTCATGATCTCACGGTTCGTGGGTTCGAGCCCCGCATCAGGCTCTGTGCTGACAGCTAGTTCAGAGCCTGGAGCCTGCTTCAGATTCTGTGTCTCCCTCTCTCTCTGACCCTCCCCTGCTCATGCTATCTCTCTCTCTCTCTCAAAAATAAATAAAATATTAAAACAAAACAAAACAAAAAAAAAACCCATTCCTTGGTCACATCTAAATCTCTGTACATGCTGTTCTCTGTGCCTGGGAAAATCTTTCCTCACTTCCTTCTACTTGAGATCTTTTAGATCTCAGCGAAGGGGTTATTTTCTCCAAGAAAATCTCCCTAACCCCTGTCCCCCAACCTCCTCGAGTCTAGGAAGGTGCCCCTCTCTTGTGCTCCTCCATCAGCCTTTACTTACTCCCATTTGTTATCTTATACAGCACAGTTACTTGCATGCACTGGTTATCTGAAGCTCTCTCCTTTATGTGATTTTTGTACAAAGAGGGACTTTATTTTCGTATATACTGTACGCCCAAGCTAGCACACTGTTCTAGCATCCAACAGACAATTGTGTTTTTTATTTTGAATCAAGGAATGAATCCCAATTCTGTGCTTACTAAGAGAACCAACAGGCTTAACTCTAGGCCTCAATTCACTTATCTGTAGAACTGGAACCATATAACCTTTTATCTCATAAGGCTGTTATAAGAACCAAATGAGACACTACTCTGCAAACCGTAGAGTGCTACACCATGTTGGTTGTCAAAATAATCCTTTTTATAAATGAAGAAACAGCTCCAGACAGATGAGTGGGACTTACTTGCCCATTTGTCACTTTGTTACTGAGTAACAAAACTAAGACTTTAACTCTGACTCCTAGTCATGGGCCTATTATGTGACTCTAGGCTCTACTTCATGCTGACTGAACATTCTAAATGGAAAGGGAAGGGGTGGAAATTAACACTATATTTTTAGGTCTAACAACAAACAATAAAACCCATCAATTTGAAGATGAGAAAAATTAAGCAGCAGCTTGACAAGAAAATGGGAAAATATGTAATGATATTATTTAACACTTACATTGTGCTAAATACATTAAGACCACTGTTCTAAGCGCTGTATGTGAACTCCACTGTCACAATCATCCTTTTATATATTATCCATCTTTTACAGAATTTCTATGCTTACTAAACTTTGTAATTAGTTTCACTTTTTAAGAGAAAAAGAGCATAGTCTCCTATTCATTCTTGAAAACATCAGCTGTCCTGGAAACAAACAGCTCTTTCCCAAACAACTTATACTACTCAAAGGTGATAATAACACATTTTCTTGGTTTTGTCCTCTACTCCCTGGCCCTGAACTCATTTTTATCTTATTCTACTGTGAGTATCTTATAGTGACTTTTCAAGTGAGTCTCCACTAGTCTCTTACCTTCTGCCTGCAGAAGGACATCGCAGAACACACCACTCTGTTGCTGGTGATGGAGCTGCACAAAAGCTAACCGGAGCAGCCGGGGATTCCTATACAGGATTTTAGAACTGGCAGGAGAGCACATGTTGGTCTCTTAACAAACCTACGTCTTCACAGATCAGATTCCTGTGGATGAGATAGTACATTTCAGAGGAATAGTTGTACCTAATTTGTTTTTGTCTTTGAAATGATAGGGAAATTTTTTTAAACATTTTTTATTTATTTCTGAGAGAGAGAGACAATGTGAGAAGGGGAGGGTCAGAGAGAGAGGGAGACGCAGAATCCAAAACAGGCTCCAGGCTCTGAGCTAGCTGTCAGCACAGAGCCCGATGCAGGGCCCAAACCCACGAACCGTGAGATCATGACCTGAGCCTAAGTCGGCCGCCCAACAGGCTGAGCCACCCAGACGCCACCACCCCCTTTTTTTTTTTTTAACGTATGATAGGGAAATCTTGAAAGTGAGAGACAATAGCCATGTGTTGAGTTACCATAAGCCCAGAAATTGTGCCAACGGTATCTCAAGAAAGGATTTCATAGTGCTTACATGTAGGAGATCAGAAACAAGTGCAGAGTTGAATCTTAGCTCTGTTATTTATTAGCCTAGCTGCATAATCTCAAGCAACTGACCTAACTTTTCTGAGTCTCACTCTTCTCATCTATGAAATGGTAATGATAATAGTACTTACCTGGTAGGGCTGTTTTAAAGGTTAAATGAGTCAATGCAGGGAAAATTGCTTAGTACTGTGAGTGCCTGGCACATAATTATTACTTCCAAAAGAGTAGCTATTGTTGGGGCACCTGGGTGGCTCAGTTGGTAAAGCATCTGACTCTTGATTTTGGCTCAGGTCATGATCTCATGGTTTGTGAGTCTGAACCCACATTGGGCTCTGTGCTCTGTGCCGACAGTGCAGAGCCTGTTTGGGATTTTCTCCCCTACTTTCTCTGCCCCTCCCTCACGCTCTCTCTTTCTCAAAATAAATTAACAAACTTAAAAAAAAATAAAGGTAGCTATTGTCATTATGCTTAAATCTTCTGCATTCACATTACCACTGAGACTCACCACCAACAGTGCCGACAACCCATTCTTCCCAAGCACCACACTTCTGAGCCCCATGGTATAATCCTCAATTTAACACTTTTAAAGAAACAATATCGAACATAAAATCTTCTAGGAGGTTGTACACACCTTCTTGTCTTTGAGCTCACTCTATCACACTAACCAGCAGAGGGTGCACAGTAAAGAAAAGCAAGTGCTGGGCTCTCTGGGAAAGTCTCTTACAGAAAGAAAGAAGGACGTTGCTACCCTTGCTTTGGATGTTCTTGACCAAAGTGAGCCTCATGCAGCCTGGAAACTGGCAAAGAATTTGGCCTTTCAATTTGTCAGTCTGGTTAATCACCCGGCTAACCACGGAGCAAGGATAATTAAGCATTCTACCCTTCCCGAAACAAGCTGGATCTTCTGACTTCAGGCTTACTCCATTTCCAGCTTTTTGCACTGAAAAACCCCCACACTCACTGCACAGCTGGCATTCCTTTCCTGGCATGCAGCTTTCTATCGGGTGGCACCGATGGCTCTAAACGGTTCCCGTCAAACTATCAGGAAAGAAGAGAGTGGAAAGGTTAATTCAGAAGGGATAGGCTCAATGCTAATTTCAGCCAGAGGGGGATGGGCGGAGAGGATGGATGGCAGCTCTTGCAAGGTCCCCAACATAGGCTCTGGGGAAGCTTCCCGACCCACCAGGCACCCGGCTTTGACCCCAGACCCAACCTGGAACAGCTCTGCAGAAGTTGCTCTTGGCGTTAGGGTCCTCTGTCCAGCGTCGCGCGGGGAAGGTTAGCAAAGCAGCAAAAGGTGGGCCAACGGCCTGGGGGTTCCGCTTCCCGTCCAGAAGCAAGGAATCGAGGTTCAGGGAAGGCCCTGCAATGCGGGGCGCCCCTCACGCTCAGGGCGCCCCCGGCCCAACTCCTTTGAAGAGAGACCTCTCGGCGCTAAGGTTTCTGGGAATGGAGCGTGGGGATCCCGGAGGCCCGAATTCAGGGTTCACCCTCGCCACCACCTCCGGCCACACGGGCTTTGCAGCCACTCCTTGGTGCCCTCGTACCGCTGCGGGCTGCGGGCCCGGCACCCTCATGCAGGTGACAGCCAGGGCCTGAGGCCACGCGGCCAGCGCCACACACCTCGCGCTGGGGTCCTCGCGCACGGCGCGTCGCTGGGCCCGACGTCCTTCCTCCTCCCCCAGCCCTCGGGCCGACGTCTGCCTGAATACGTCATCCCCATTGGCCGAAGGTTCTTCGGGCGGCCAATCACAGCGAGAGGAGCGCTTTGGGCGGGAGGCTAAGTCTCGAGGGACTTGAGGGCAGAGTCAAGATGGTCGGGCGGCGAGAGGTAGGCTAGAAGGCCCGCTCGGGAGGCCGGCTTGTCCCACGGCACCCGACGGGATCACAGGGAAGAGAGGGTCAGGACTCCCCAGTAGGGCAGGCTCCTAGGTGGGTGAAGGACACCTCCGTCTTCCCTTTGAATACACTTGCAAGTGGCCCTGGTCCCACTGAGGAAGGCTTCTCGGAGCAGAAGGCCTCTGGATGGCTCCCCTTGCACCTAGATCAGATCTCTCTAATCTTGGTAGCTCTTTAGGCCAGGGATGCTCGGGAACAAGGCTGTTGGGCTAGTGTCTGAAATCTGGTTTTTCCCAGATCCTCCTCCACCCTAAAACTGGTGGGACCACCGGGCTTGCAGAACTTCCGGTGTGGACGCGCCTGCAACACCCGTTCAGGGATGATTTATTTGGCGCACCTCTTGGCTGGCAACAGCTGTTTCCAGGGATGATGTAACAAATTAAGTGATTGCAAGATTAAACACTTAGAGAGAATGCCAGCCGGGGTCATACAGCTGGGCAGTGGTTCTTCCCCGTGTGTGTGTGTGTGTGTGTGTGTGTGTGTGTGTGTGTGTGTTAGGACCTGGGGCCTGGCTTCGATTCGATGCCCCTCGATGTCCTGCTGTAGATGAGGATGGCCAATTCCAAAGCCGATGGAGTGCGGTGAATTAAAATGTAGCAGCCTCCATGGAGACCAACTGGAGGCCAAACGTGAAGATGCCTAAGAGACAGGGAACCTGCAAAGGAACAGTTCAGGGAGGTTAGTAAGTGGTACGGTTCCCTCAAATACGGCTTACGGGTACCTAACATCGTCTCAAAAAGGATTTGGGGAGCATGTCACCTATCCTTGTAAAAAAAAAATGTTCTTTCTTTTTTTTAAAAAATAGATTTTGAGAAGGTTGACAAATATGGAGGGCAGGGTGCATTTCCAAGTCAGGTAATATTGTGGTTTGAGACCTTTGCTCTTGAGATGGAAAAAAGATCAAGGCACAGAAGACGTTTTGGGTTGCAGTTACATTTTGAAGAGGAAGCAGTTTGTGAAAGGACATCAAACTTAGAAGGAGGACACAAGCAAGCAAAAAAAAAAAAAAAAAAAGACAAGGCAGAACAGTGCTTGCTTAGGCATCTGTTACTGTGGAATCGACTTGAGTAGGTGGGTGAAGTACCAGTAGAGGTGATCCTGCAAGGTTGTACAAAAAATATAAATATTATATCGTCTCATGAATTGTTATTAGGAGTGGATTAATTTTCAAGCAGCAGAGAGGACTCCCTTCTTGGTTTCTTCTTCTTTTTGCATCCAACACCATTTTAGTTAAATCTTGTGATAGCAGAATTTTTTCTTTTAATTTATTTCTAGGAGAGAGAGAGAGAGAGACAGCGTGAACAGGGGAGGGTCAGAGAGAGAGGGAGTCACAGACTCTGAAACAGGCTCCAGGCTTTGAGCAGGCAGTCAGCACAGAGCCCGAAGCGGGGCTCGAACCCACGAACCGCGAGATCATGACCTAAGCGAAAGTCGGACGCCCAACCGACTAAGCCACCCAGGCGCCCCGTGATAGCAGAATTTCTAAAGGGAATGATAAATGGCCATCCTACCCAGGGCTTCAAAAATGACAAACTTTTGATGGTAATATGTAGCCACCAGAGGGTAGAGAGGAGTAAAAATATTTTGTCTTCTTTTGTACGGACATCCAGTGGCGTGGTTTTTTTTTTTTTTTTCCCGGTTTCTTCTCCTTGGCATTTATAGTTTTAGTCTATTTTAGAAGTAGAGTCAGCACAGCGCAGCACTCAGCCCTTAAGTTAATATTTCTACTTTATGTGTTTTTAATATTTCTTTTCTAAACATGATGTTATTTCCTAGCTCTTCCCTAATCTTTCAGCATTTTATGGTATCTTGTTTTTCTTTGTGTGTAAGTACTGATGGCTGTGGGCAGTGGGGAGTTAAACTTTGAGAGCTGTGAAACTGAGCCCTGAGTGTAATATTCCATGCATTAGAAACCAAGCAAACGAAAGAAAGAAAAGAAAGAAAAACCTCTGAAATAAAAAACAACCATGTATCTCTGAACATACCCTCGATCCATTGACTTCTCTCCATTTTCACTGTTACTACTGTGGTCAGCTTTCTATTACTGCAACTTGAGCTTCAAACTAATTTCCTTGCTTTCACCCTTGCCCCCTCTTTAATCCATTGGACACATAAACTCTTCAAAACCTGAGTTAGATCATGTCATTCTGCTGTTGAAAGCCCTCAGAGGCTTTCCTCTTCCTAGGAATAAAATCAAGGGGCACCTGGGTGGCTCAGTCGGTTAAGCATCCAAATCTTGATTTCGGCTCAGGTCCTGATCTCATGGTTTGTGAGATGGAGCCCCATGTTGGGCTCTGCAATGGCAGTGTGGGATTCTCACCCTCCTTTCTGCCCCTCCCCCACTCATGTGCGGGAGCACTTTCTCTTTCTAAATAAATAAACAAACATTTTAAACAAAGAATGAAATCAAAGCTCCTTTCTCTAAATAACCTGTAGAATCTTCCATATTCCTATCATTCCCTCCTCATTCTGACACTCTGCTGGATTCAGTGTGTTTCAGCCTCACACTTGAGAGGTTTGGCATTAGTCTTACCAGTGCTCATATGTTTTCATGGTTGGCTGCTTCTTCCCATTCAGATTTCAACTTAAAAGATTTTAACTGAAATGTCAAACTCTCCAAAGAGTTTGTCCCTGACATTCAGTGTAGAATAAGCCACAAGTCATTATTATTATTATCCGACTGGTTTTTAAAAATAATTTTTTAACATTCATTTTTGAGAAACAGAGACAGAGCATGAGTGGGGGAGGAGCAGAAAGAGAGGGAGACAGAATCTGAAGCAGGCTCCAGGCTCTGAGCTGTCAGCCCAGAGTCGGTCACAGGGCCTGAATTCATGGACTGCAAGATCATGACCTTAGCTGAAGTCGGACACTTAACCGACTGAGCCACCCAGGTGCCCCTATCAGTTTGTTTTAAACCTCTGTGTAGTATTCCATCTGACATTTACTAATCTCTCTCTCTCTCTCTCCGTTAGAATGTAAGCTTTCTGAGAGCAAGGAACTGGTCTACTCATTATCATTGACATCTAGAAGAGTACCTGGCTCACAGTAGGTACTCAGAATAACCCAAGTGGAACTCACCTTTTTTTGGTAGCCTGGGTGTAAAGAGTTTATCCCTCAGTGAGTATTAATCCTTGTGATGCTTTATTTGGAGACGGCTATTTCAGATAAATTTAAATTTTAACTTTTTCATCACTGAATTATCTTTTTTTTTTTTTTAAGTAGGCTCTCTGCCGAACATGGGCTTGAACTCATGATCCTGAGATCAAGAGTCTCATGCTTTACTGACTGAGCCACTCAGGCATCCCGGGTTATCTTTTTTGGTTTGTATATAACTTTATTTTTAATGTTATCTACAAATTCATTAATATAAAAATGACTTGCCCAGGATTGCATAACTAGTAAGCCAAGAGACTCCATTCACTCACTTACCTGTTGCTAAATATGAGACATTAGGCTGAGCTCTGGGGATACATCATGAACTAGAAAGATACCATTCATGTCTTCATGGAGCTCATCTTGTGGTGAGGGAGACAGGAAAACACACCCACTAAAGGAAGGCAAAATACTTGCAAATTTTTAGTGATGAATTGAAGGAAACAAGACCAACCCATCTCTAGAAAATCATAGAATATTCTAGAATATAGCTCTGATCTAGGAATCAATGAATCAACGAACATTTCTTGTTCTGGTTGTTTTCCGTTGGCAGTTGTCTTTGGCTTTTGAACTTGCTGTGGAGGACCAGGAATACTAGATGGAAAGTAGAGGTAGAAGATGTGATAAGATAATAAGAGAAGGTTCCTAGATAATGAGGGTTAAAGTTTGTGCCTGTCTCTGTTTAATGTATTAATTTCCCAATCTAGTTTAGTTTGTTTAAAGCCCATCAAACAAGCGCTGTGATGCCTGTTTGGTCTTCCAGCCCTTCTGAGAGAAGTCCTTTTTTGGTCATTTTAGACCAGATATGAGGGTCTGTGAGACTGTAGACTGAATATGCGGGGGGTGGGGGTGGTGGATAATGACTAGATCAGCCTGATTAGAAGGGCACGTTCATGCTGAGGAGGAGTGGAATTCCAGTTTAGATAGATAAGGAAAGGTCAGATTGTGGTTAGTAAGGGTGACTTTAATGTACTGAGTGAGTTAATGTGGTACCTTGAAAGCAGATGAGGACTTGGCTTTTTTCCTGACCATAAGGTGATGGAAAGAGCATGGGCTTTGGAGTTGGATCAATGAGGGAATCACTTCTTAGCCAGACCAACTCAGGCAAGTTTCTTCACCTTGCTGAACCTTGATTTCCTCATTTGTGAAATGGTGGTAATACTATCTCCATGGTGGTGTTTTAGAAGTTAGAGATAATGAGCACAAAGTGCCTTTCACATGATAGATGCTCTGTCGTTGTTTGCTATTATCAGGCGATGGTAAGCCACTGAAGGTTTTGGAGCAGGGTAGATGCTGGTAATAACAACTCATTCGTAGTGAGTTCATATTACATGCTGTATGCTGTTCTAAGAACTTTACGTGTATTTTAATTCTCACAACAGTCCTGTGAGAGATATAGTTATGATCTTCACTTTATAGTTAAGGAAAGAGAGGCTCAGAGAGATTATATAATTTGTTCAAGGTCACATAGTAATACATTTACTTAAGTGTGCTTGCAGAGCAGGAAGGTTTGAAGCCAGGCAGTCTGACTACAGAACCTATGCTCTTAACCATTATTCTAGATTATGAAAACTTTATGAAGATTCATTTGGCAGCAGTCTACAGGTAGATTTTTCAGTAAGAATAAAAAAGGAAAATTTCAATTCATCGTTATCATTTTTCTTTAGTAATCACCAAATGACCATAAAGTACTAGTCTTTGTCAAGCATGTAAAAAAAAAAAAAAGAAAAATCCGACGTCTGTCCTTCATGGCTTACAGTGTAAGAACATATTAAGGATCACTTGTAACTCAGAAAAAGAATACCTGTATAATCCTTTATGTGGGATAAATGTACAAAGAGAATGTATGAACTAGATCATGGTAAGCTTGTAGTGCACAAAGAAATCGAATTTTCTTAAAGTGAAATTTAGTTTTTCTTACACATGCTGTTATCTCCTCTAAATATATTACTTGCTTACTGAATTCCACTTATTCTCCCCTTCAAACACACATCATTTTGATTTGGGGACAAACGGGAAGACAGTGATTTTCTTCAACAGCCCAGCGGATACAGCCTCCTTCTAGTCGAAAGCACAGACACTAAAAACTGTTAACAATTCCAGGCATTTATTTATTTATTTCTCATTAGCTATAACGCAGTTAAGCCAAAACACTGAAATGGGAAGTTTACCTCGGCTCTTCCCTCCCAGCCCAGTCAATACATAGCGGTCCTGTTACCAGGATTTTTCTTTCCTTCCCTTCCTGTCTTCTTTTGGGGGAAATGCTTGGGGGTTGAAAGCAACAAACCAAACAGCAGCAGGCAAATCAGATCAGCTCTTCTCCTACTTCCCTACCCGGGAAGGAAGGGAGAGGAAGCAAGAACCCCACCATCGGCGAGCGGGAGCCTAGGCGTGCCGTGCGGTCCTCGGGAGCCCGGTTCCTTCGGCCGGCCGGAGCTCTGCAGTCACTCCTCAGAGACTGGGTCGTCTCCACTTTAAATATAAATATATATATAAAACTTCCCCCTGTCTCTCTCTCCTCCTCTCTCTCGCCTTTTTTATTTTTTTAATTTCCTATAATAAAGTTTCCTATTGGATAACATCAGCTCCCTGATTTATGCCTGGCTCCTATTGGAAGTTCTCAGGGGCTGACATCACTGAGGAAAGCGAGGGGGTAGGGCTGCCAGATCAGTTTGTCACCACCCAGGCTCCCTAGCCTTTGGCTGGGTGCAACTTCCATTTTAGGTGTTGGATCTGCGAGGAAAAAAAAAAAAGAGAGAGAGGGAGAGAGAGAGAGAAAGAAGAGCAGGAAAGATCCTGATCCTGAAAGGAGGAAGAAGTGGCGAAAAACCAACTACCCTGCTGGATCTGTCTTTCTCAGCACATTGACGAAGCCTTGGGTTTCTTTCTTAAAGGACTGGGTTTTAGAAGTCCACCTCTGAGGTGTGTGCCTTTTTAAAAACCGTGTGTACAGCCGGGTGAAGGAGGATAAGCCAAGTGGAATGATTGTCTTTCGGTAACCAGAGCGAAGTTAAAAACGGGAGACTCTGCGGTGCTGACGGGTGACTTTTAAGCAATTGTTATTTTTTCTTCCTACTTTGGGGGGATTTTGGTATTTTATTATACTTAAAATATTCAAGACCCAGAAACAAACTTCCAGCTCTGTCTAATATAGGGAGACGAGTAGATCCAGAGGGGTGAGAGCAAATTTACATTTCCATGGACATTTACATTTCTGGGTGTTCTTTGATTTTATGGTTTTTTTTCCCCTGGTGTTAAGCTAACAAACTTCTGTTTTCAGAGCCCAAACCCAAAGTTCGGGTTTTTGGCATGTCGCGTGTGGGTTGGGAAAGGAATTTGTCCGGGTCGGAAGCTACTTATACAGATGGTTCTGCATATATCTCAAAACTTTTCCCCCCCTTTTATCATTAGGTTTGTGGAAGTGGAAAGTTGCAGGGAGCTTTGCAGCTTAAATGGTGGTGGTTTTCCCCCAGAGAGTTTGAACGGCCCAGATCAGTTTCAGCCTTGCTGTTCCTGGGTGGATCCCTCTTTTACTTTTCCAGGTGCGGTGGGTGGGAGCCTCATTCTCCAGCGAGCCATAGCCTCGCTACTTTGCTTTATAAAAGAAAACAAATGGATCCATGTTAACCAAATTGCCATTTCTTTCTCCCTACGGCTACCTTTGATGGCAAAGATTTGTAGAGGGGTTACACGTTCAGCCTGCAAGTACCGTAACGTTGGGTTTCTGTGCTTAAAGGGCTAAGGAAATTCTAATCATGCTTTTTAAGTTCCCGTGAATAAAGTGGCAACACACCTGGAGATATTTCCAGCTTTGTGGCCTCTGAAAGGGTCGTGGATCAGATAAGGTGAAGTTAAGAGAAAACACTGAACGCAGACGTCAGTGTTGAGAATGCATTTGAGAAAGTACAACAAGAATTCTCCCTTTTTCACCAAACTGAAAGTTGTTTTTTGGAGGTGAGTTTTTGGTTTGGTTAATTTGCCGTGAAATCACAGATCGGTAAGAGCCGAAGGCCCGTGACTGCCTTCATGTATTTAATCTTAACACTCGTTTCTTCTTTTCTGCAAATACATCCTTGCAAAAATACTGTTTCTGGATAATTATATAGCCAACTCATCAGGAGCTGGAAACTGAGTGTTCTCTCCTTTCTCTCTTTGAAAATGCGCATCGGTCTGAAAATGAGAGCTGGAATAGATACTGCCCTGATTGTAACAAGATGGGCCTTAATAGATAAGCTGGCCTTTAGCTTTAAACGGGTACGTGGCTTTAATAACTCCCTGATTTTGTGCACTCCTCCCATCCTTTAGACAACACTTCCTTGAATTTCTTTTCCAGAATGGGAGTATTTCTTGAAAGATGATTTCATCCTGGTGAGGTTGTGGCTTCAGAGGAAACAACTTTGTTCCTTTTTAAATCTAATCTATGCGAGGGCTACAGTCAGATTTTGATGTCTGGATCTCATAATTCTAGCAAGTGCCATTACAAAGAAAAAAGATAATATGTGCAGTCTGTTCGGCTCTAGTTCTTGTTCGAGGGAAAATTTGGAAAATATTAAACGTTTTCTCTGCCTTGACTCCAGCCTAGGGGAGGTTTCTTGGTGGATCTTTGGAGGGTTGGTCATGTTGCTGCCACAGTGTCGGTTTCGCACCCAACCTTTAGGGGGAGGGATGAGGGAATCCGAAGAAGGAGTACAAAGGCAGTTTGAAAATAGGTTCTGGATGACTGAGTGGTGGTGGTTTGGGTCCAGCTTTAAATACTGGGCTTTGTGTAGCTGCAGTGAGCATCCTAGTAACTAGCGTCCAGGACTATTTCCACCACTGAGGCTTTGTTTTGACTGGTGTGTACTATAGAGCCTTCTGGTTGATAAGATGGAACATTTGTCTTTTTCCTCACCTCTGCCAGTTCTTTCAGGAAATACAAGGGGTGCAAACTAGTAAATCTCTGATTTTTTTTGTCTTGCTCCTCGTTTTGGTTTGGGATAAAAAAAAGACGAGTAAGTATGAGTTGTGCAGATTTTTCTTTTTGTGTTTGACTCCTATATACTGTTGGTTTCTTTGTTATACGAGTAAGGTACGGTCTGTGTGTTCCAGGTGGGTGTCTCTTTTGGGTGGTTAGAGTTCTGCTGCCTTTCTTAGGGCTCCAAATTACAGGGAGTCACGGGGCTAGGATATGTTCTCTCAGTATAAAAATTGGGACTATTGTAGATTTTTTCCTAAAAAAAGCTCGGATTAATTGCAATTCAGCCTTAGGTTTATGAGGTAGTTGCTCTCCCGGGATGGGTGAGACAGGACGGATGCAAATAAATTAAGCACAGGTCACTATTCAATTGGAATAACAAAATGATTAGCTCTGTATAATTTATTGCTTTCTATTTTAGTGCCTCATGGTCCACTTCCAGCCCTCTCTCCCCACCCTCTCGTTGTTTTATACTGCATGCTGAGCATTTTGCATAAACCATTTACTTATTTTTCCACAACTGTTTTTGTTGTTGTTGTTGTTGTTGTTGTTGTTGTTGTTTAAGGACTATGAGCCTCGGAGAAGCTGAGGTTTGCTGAAAATCTCACTGCCCGTAAGTGGCCAAGGCCAGAATTAAACCCTCCTCTGACTAACTACAAAGTCCATGGACCTAGCCACTAATATACTACCATTCTCCAGAGAGAATGGAAACAAGAGCCAGAACTAAAATGAGCCCTTGCTAGAGGCAGGAGTGTTTAATTTTGCAGAGTGCCAGCCCCCCCCCCCCCCCCCCCCCCCCCCCCCCCCCCTAGAATCCCAACCCCCTGCATGTTGGGTTAATATATGTAAAAAATCCATTTTCCGTAAATCCCACAGAGACCTGAGTATACTAGAATGGATAGCCTCTCAGTCTTTAAGACTGGGATCTTCCCACATGCTTACCCTCGCTATCCTAATTTCTTAAACTGACCGGAAATGCCTCCAACTTTGATTATCAGTGAAATTTCTTCTTCTAGAGAATTTACAGGCGTGTGGTTTGAAATGATATTGGCAACTTGCAGGGAGAGGCTTGTAACAGTAGCTCAAATAACGTTTATCACATTGTGTTAAAGTTGTCTACTTCTTTTTGCCTTTCCTTCTAGACCGTGAGGCTGTCTTCTATGTCCTCTTAGCTGCTGTCTTAGTGTCAGGTATATACCAAGGTGTCAATAAGTCTTGGTTAAATAAGGCATTTGATGGGAATCCCCGAGGGACTTTGTGGGGAAAAGTGAAAGGAAGTCGAGGTGGGAAGCAGTACAACCTGGATTAACAAAATCAGTGTAATTTAGAAACTTCTGCTGTAGTCTGTAGTTTCAACCTTTTACACATTTCCTACCTCTCATTTTTAAGTGAGGTTTCTGGAAATCATCGAAGATTTAACATTTTGATTTAAAAAAAACACCCTCTTTTCTGGGCGAGTTGTCAAAAGGGTAGTATAAAAAGTAAGGGTCATCATATTTCATAATCTAGGCGGCTATTAACTTCAACCACTGAAACCTTAAATATAGCCACTGTCTAGGGGAGAGGAGCTGCTCACCTGGAAATGACTAGGGCAGCAGCAGGGAAGTACTGCTTTCCAACATGTTAGAAGCGAGTGGTTTTTATACTAGTTAATGAAAACTCGAGAAGCTTGGGACGATAGTTTTGAACATCAGTGTTCCAAAGAAAGTACATTTGGATATCATTAATTTTTTTTGTCAGTGCTTCTGCTACGAAACTTCAGATTTCGTTCACCAAGTGTATTGGGAAGTATGAATTTAAGAACCTAAATTCATTTTCATGGGTAATGTAGAACAATAGTAACAGGAAACTGCCTAAAGGAATGATTCCTAGGTTATCAGTATGTGATTTCATGTTCTCTCCCATTGCACAAGGATTAAAATGCCATGAAAGGCTAACATAGGGGTTGCTCTGCCTAAAATGCAGTTGCCTGCAAGGTTTCCAGTAGAGAGCATCGATACAGCCTGGATACAGTAAGGAGGGAAGAACTGATATTCTGGTTAGAACTAACGAGGGGTTAAATAAGGGTCTGGATTGATTTGTATTTGGTTGTATTATATAGTGCAGTTTTGGGAGTAAATGTCCGCACTCCCATTCTATTTGGAATTGAATGTCATTGGTTATTAAATATTAAGCATTGAGAATGGAACCCACAGTTACTGTTGTGGTTCAGCGACGGTGTTCCCCATTTTTAGGCCACTTCCTCTCCAGTGAGTCCTTCAGTCTGACTGGAGTGGTGTGGGCAATTTAGATCAGGCATTTAGTGGGGACAATATAAAGATCCAGAGCTTTCTTAAAGCATTCTTTGCTAGCCGTTGGGTTAATTTGGTCATCACTTTTGCAAACTATGTTCCATTATATGATGAGGAAAGCAACTTTGAACTTTTAATTTTTTAAAAATTTTAAGTTTACTTAAAAAAATTGTTTTTAAATGTTATTTATTTTTGAGACAGGAGAGACAGAGCATGAGCAGGGGAGGGGGCAGAGAGAGAGAGGGAGACACAGAATCCGAAGCAGGTTCCAGGCTCTGAGCTGTTAGTACAGAGCCTGACGTGGGGCTCGAACTCACAAGCTGTGAGGTCATGACCGTAGCTGAAGTCGGACGCTTAACCAACTGAGCCACCCAAGTGCCCCTAAGTTTATTTATTTTTGAGAGAGAGACAGAGAGAACAAGCAGGGGAGGGGCAGAGAGAGGAAGAGAGAGAATCCCAAGCAGGTTCTGCACTGTCAGCACGGAGTCTGATGCGGGGCTCGAACTCCCGAAACGTGAGATCATGACCTGAGCTGAAACCAAGAGCTGGATGCTTAACTGACTGAGATACCCAGGTGTCCCTCAACTTTTAATTTTGAAAAAATTTCAAACTTAGGAAAGTTGCAAGAATAGCACAATAACTCCTGCATACCCTTAGTCACCTAGACACCCATAGTT